TAGAAAAGAATGCATTCACTAAATCAATGATGTATACCAAATACCTGAAGCAGTATTAATTTATTCTAGCAAATATACCACATCTGGCACAGCAGCTGCCATCAGGCCTACTAATTGGTGAGCTTGCCATAATGTACTGTCATCCTTCAGAGTCCATCTATTTTTTTGCGTGGACACATGGTGGGTTAAATGGAGATACAATGGGAATCAGTGCCTCTGTATCTTTTAAATTCATAAGAATGGTACTAATTGCTGCCATCCTCTTCTGAGATATAATGTTGTTTTGATTTCCTATGCCATGTTAGGCTAGGGAGAGGAGGCAATTTCAGAGGCTTCCACTTGGCCTTCTCCACTATGATAGCTTTTATTTCAGAGGCAAAGGTCTCAATGGTTTTGTACCAGTTGCCAAATAGGTCAATCCCATTATACATTTGGGACTGGGGAAATGACCACTGGGTGGGCCCCAGAGCCAATAGACTCCTTCTGAGCTGGACTTTGCCATGACCTCACTTGATTAGCCTCTTTATATCTCTAGTCTAACAGACGTAGGGCCATAATGATACTTCTGATCTCTGGATATCAGTGTCAGTTCAGACCCTGTGTCTAACTGTCCTTGAAATGTCTGGGTATTCCCATTTCCCCAAGGTACAATTACCCAAGTAAATGACCAAAGATACTTTGGGGATGGACTATGGAAATCATTATCATTTATACTTGTTGAAGTGTAGCTGGGTCCTTCCTTCTGCAGGCCTCTTCAGTTAATGGGTTCTAGGTCTATAAACTGGCTCAGCTGTGAAAACTGATTAAGGAATTATAATATTATTGGGTGACAGACTTTAGCCTCCTGGTCACCTATTCTTGATTTTTTTTCTGCTGATACAAACTAATAAGACCTTTGTTAGCTGCCTATTTATTTTACTCCAAAGGATACCATGTTCTATTAATCATTTCCATAACTGTGTGGGTCAGGTTCATATTATAACTGTAACCTCTTGGCTTCTGGTAGTTCAACACTGCCACCTGGCCTCTATTGTTTTGGGGTCCTAGTCATCCCCATTGCTATCAGTGAGCCAAATTCTGGGAGGCCTCTGCTACCTTCAGCTGCTACCTGTGACTTGTGGAAAAACATGGTCCCCAAGCTCCTGATGGTACATGCTGGTAGGTCTTGCATGTTCTTTGGGGAATAGTCCTTTACCTCCATCATCAGGCACAATACCTCCCAACCAGGTAATGCTGACTTAACCCTAATTATAGATCTAGTGGCCAGAAGGCTATAAATTTCTGCTGCACATAGATAGCATGACCTTAAAAGAAATATATTGGTTTAGTGGAAGCATTTGGGCAGACTCAGATATTGTAAGATAGAAACCTGGTGATGCTTGTCCATTTGCAAGATATTTGAGACATGAAGGGAATTGGAAAAATTTATAACTTTGGTATTTACTGGCTTTTTCTTCCCACTTTCAGCAAATTTCTATGAGAAATGAACTCAGGCCAGAGCTAGCCAATCTGCATGTAGAGGTGGAAAAAGAATACAGTTTTGTTAAGAGGGGAACTCTGTCTATAAGTGGATCAAGAGTCCCATAATTTGGAGCCTTAAAGGGCTAAAAACAAAACAAAACAAAAAACCCAACTATTTCTATACCTCCAAATCAAAGCATATAAAAATTGTGTCTGTGAACAAAAGCCTTGGAAGGAAATATGCCTGCCACTAAGCCATACAAAGCTGACAAATATGGGATTAAGAATGCTGTCAACCTGTTAAATACCATTGTTTTAGATGTCCCCAAGTTAGCTGTTATTAAGGGTGAGGCAGCTGCTCAGCACAGAGAAGCTAAGAAATAAAACAGTGTTTGGGGCTTAAAAACGATATATAATATGATAGCTGAAGGAAACTGGACTTTGGGTGGTAATCACACAATAGAATATATAGATGTCAAATTATAATGTACATCTGAAAATTATATAATTGTATTAACAAATGTTACCCCAATAAACTTAAAACAAATAAACAAAAACTGTATCTAGGCAAGAACTGTGGCTGTCCTTTCTCTCACACAGAAATGACCAGAAGAAAAAGGATGAGAAACCCTTTAAATTTTTGCATGAATTATTTCGCCAGAGATACACCAAGCCTGACCTGCATCTATGAGTTTCCGCTGTTGCTACTGATAAGCACGTAAGGTGATTGGTATTTCTGGAGCAGCATTAGCAGTTTCCATGTACAGCCACTAGTTCTGTGGGCCTTGATGGGCAGGATTTAGGACACGTATTGTGTTGGTATAGATCACTGTGGGTACAGTGTGGTTCTGAACTTGGCAACACAAGCAGCTTTTTGATGGCAATGGTTTCCTAGGCAATTGCAGGAGCAATGTAGTTCAAAAATCATCATTTCCTGATCATTAAAGAGTCATTGCTCCCTTGGTGACTTGGTTCTATGAAGACCTTGGGACTCATACCTGAAAAACTAATCTTAGAGTCTATTTAATCAACACTCCCAAGTATTCTGTACCCTTTGTACTTATAACAGGTATTCTTCTATTTAATCAACACTCCCAAGTATTCTGCACCCTTTGTACTTATAACAGGTACTCTATTTTCTGCAAATGAACTTTGATATTGTAAATGGTACAGGAAGGACAGTGGCTACAGACAATAGGATCTCAATTCAGATAGGAAAACTAGAATTAGAAAAATTAGAATAGGAAATTAGAATTGGTTATCTGTCCTAGCGGAGTTTGAGAGTAGCAATGATTTTGCTAGCATAAGAGAATGAGATGCTCCAGTCCATTGTACGCAATGGCAAACTAAGAGACTGATTCTAAGGTGGGTAAATTAAGGGACAATTATCTGAATTCAGGAATCCTGGGTTGGTGAGGGAAGAAGTCATCAATGCCCTTAAGATATTTTTTAGGATGATTCATTCTAGGTGATTTCTTCCAGCCTCATGGTTTAAAATACCACTTGATGACTCCCAGATTTATATACCCTCATCCAAATTCTCTGCTCAGTTCCAGAATTGGTTATCTGCTGGCTCACCATCTCTACTTGTATGTGATATAGTTATTTCAATCTTAATGTCTAAGAACAGTGGATCCTCCATCCAACTCGCTAGATCTCAGTGTTCCTCTTTAGGGAGAACCAACCACGATCCACATGCTTCGGTTAAAAAAAAAAAAAAATCCTTGTCATCTCTCTCTCTTTTTTTTTTTTCAATCCATCAGTAGACCCTGTTGGCTCTACTTCAAAATATGTTCTGAATTCTACTAGTTTTCAACATTTTCACTGCTACCAACTTATTCCAAGCCACCATACTTTATTCCATGGACTACTGAAATAGCCTCCTAGCAGTACTAATTGCTTGCACTTTTGAAGGTCAACAGTCTATCCACTACAACTAGCCACTCGACATATCATTCCAGCCCAAAACCATCCAAAAGCATCCATCACCTTACCCTGCTTAATCAGAGCCCAGCCACGACACTAATCTTATTTCCCATAATCTTCTCACGGTGGCTCACTCTATTCTAAGCACCCTGGCCTCCTTGGCTTCTTTCTCAGATGCCAAGCAAATTAAGCTTCAGGACTTTTCTAACTTGCTGTTGTCTCTGCCCGGACTATTACCATTGGGCGGGCGGGGGAGATTTAAACTTCACGGTCACTCCAGTGGCATGGGGGATATAATGCTCCAGAAGTGTAATGAGCATTTTTCCTCAGTTCTTCGACAGTGAAGAATTACAGGTCAGAGAAATTTAGAAAAGATTTATTAAAGGGATATTTTAGAAAAACAGAGCACCTGCCACGGGAGGATCATTTTTTCCAGCGAAAAGAGCTGTTAACCTAGAAGTGGGAAGGTAGTATATTTGGGCTGTGATGGGTGGTTACAAAAGCATTCCTAGGTGATTTGTCTGGACCATCCTTACCTTAGATTCCTCCAAGGTTCTCTCTGCTTTCATTTAGCTCTCTGCTCTAATATCAACTCAAAGAAGTCGCTTTCCAGATTATCCTGTCTAAAACACTCCATCCTTTATACCTTTCCCTATCATTTTAACTTCTGTTCCCGTCTACAACGTACAGCTCCCTTTGAGCAGGAAATGTGTTTCATTTAGGCCATATCGCTAGCGCCCTGAAAACCACCTAGCACGTAGTAAACACCTAAAAACATGCTTGAAGTTATTCTGCTTAACTGGAACACGTGCTTTGCGAAGTTGTGAGGTCGCCTCACAAACACAGAAAGAAGCCAAAACCAGGTAAGGCCTGCCTCGCCGTTTTTGAGTCTTTTAGTAAGGGCTCGCGCAGGAATCCTTTGCAGCTGTCCCATCTCCAAATGGGCCTTAAAATGCTAGTTCGTTTCCTTGTCCGGCCGCGTAAACAGAAGAAAACGAAGCGAAGCGAGGCAGAGGAAGGAGCCTCAGCTCTACAGTATTCCGCTGAGAATTTACAGTTATCCATGGCAACACTTGTTTTTACTGCATAGCCGTTCGGCTGCGAAGAGAAAAACCCCAGCGCCCAACAACAAGTCAGCCATTTTCCGAAACCAGTCTCCCAAGTAACCCCACCCGAGTGTGTACACAAGAAAGGGGGCGGGGCTTGTTGCGAGGGCCTCACTCCGGAAACCGCACCCTCCGGGGCGTCCCACCGCGGAGGATTCGCAAAACGCAGAGCGAGATTTAACTGTCGGCAGTAAAAGCGCGCACTCGAGCACCAATGAGAGAGGAAGGAGGGGAACAGCTTCTTAAGAACACTCTGTATGTCTAACAATGATTGGCTGGATCCCTCTTTTCTTCTTCTTGGTATTGGCTGGACTTTCTATCCCCGCCCATTCAATTGGCTTTTTTGCCTAGGTACTTCTGATTGGCTCCTTTTGGCTGGTGGGTGGGAACAGGGTGGGGGGGGAATTGTTCATCACGGATTGGTGGATTTGAGCACCTGGCGGCTCCTTCTCCGGGAAGGAGCCCGTCCCTTCTTCTCTCTGTCCCGTCTCCCGACCCGTACGCTTTTCCTTCAACTCGCGCGCATGAATGGTTAAAAAAAAAAAGAGGGCGGGGGGGAATGTGAGGCTCGAGCCCGCCAGCCAGGCCTCTAGCTCCTAGCGCGCGCCCTCAGCAAGGACCCGCGCGAGCTGCCCGTGACCATGCCTGCGCTATTTGAAACTGCAGAACCCGTTAGGATCTTGGGGGAAACTACCGTTCCAGCTGGTTCCGGAGCCCATGCGTGACAGCGGGGAGAGTGGCGGTCGCGAGGCGGCTCATACCTTTCGCGTCTCTGCACCGTGGAGACTAGAACCGGCATTTTCGAAGGACGCCACCTCCAATCGCAGCGCTGGCGCGGGCGGAGGCTAAAACACGGGGGTCCTGAGACTGAGGAAAACGCGCCAAGTTCCCCTCGGTGGTGGAGTGGGAAAGACCCTAGCGGTTCCGGCGCTTCGCCAGCGGGATTAGTTCTTGCGCTCCTCACTAGCCCGGGGCAGGCGCGGGCGGGCGCCGCTCCGGGAATGTAGTTGGTGCCGGCGCAAGGCAGGACCGAGCGGCGGCCCGGGTTCCCGCTCTTGATAGCGAATGGTCACTCCCCCGCGGGGTGGGTGAGCCGACCAGCTTTCCTCGGGTCGGGGACTCCGCGGGCTCGGGGCAAGGTCTCATCTGTCGTACTCACACTCGTCCCGGTTGGACTCGCCGGCGTCACCGCCGCGGACCTCGCTTTGGGCCATGACTAGGTAAGGAGGGCCTGGAGAGGAGGGGCTGGTGCCGAGGCAAGTTGGGCCGGCTCCCGAGTGGGGCTACTTTGGGACACCGGCATCGGCTTTGCAGGGAAGACCCGAGGACCGTGTTGGTGCTGCTCCCTTGCCAAGCTCCCAGCTGAGCCCTCCGGGCACTGGGTGGGGCGCCCCCTCCTGCCGCGGCTCGGGACTCGGGAAGGCAGGTGCGGGCTGGGCGTAAATAGGCCAACCCCACGGGTGTGAGGCCGGGAGTCGTGATTCGGGCCAAGGACGCCACCGGCCAGCCCCCCGCTATGCCCGGTGCTGAGTTTGACGGGCACAGACATCAACACAATCTCGTCATTTTTCGCTTTCTCTTGCGTTCGTAGTGCTGCCGGGTAGGGAGAAATGTTTGCACTCACGTTGTTCTGTGTCGGTAATTGCTAAATTTTACTGCACAGTTTAACTTAAATTTTTTCTAGAAATATTTGGAATTCGACGTGTCTTAAACCTATGTTGAGGATGTTATTCTTGTTTTGCATTTTTTTGTGTGTGAAAAATTGATATTGAGTCGTGTCATTTTACAAAGGAAAGAACTTAAAACTAATGGGACTGAGTGTTCACGTTGTCATTTGCTCAAGAACATTTAATGCTCGATTCATTGTTTTCCGCGAAATTTGATTTAGACTTATAGGAGAAACATTTTTTTATGAACAACTCCTAGTTATAAGGAGTAAGAAATGGTATAACTTAATATACGGTACCTGGTAAAATGTTACATTTTCAGGAATGGTAAATGTTTAATCATTGCTTTGAGGGAGCCCGGAGCGTTGGTTTATTGATTAGGATTGATAATCTGTTATTTCATCTGCTTGATTACTTTTTCTTCTGTTAAGTCCGATTACTCTATCTAATCCAGTTTCCATCATTTTTTAGACTTGTCTCCCAAGAAAAACCTTTTTCGAGAAGTATTAATGCTTAGAGATCCCTGACGAGCGCAGGCTGGTTTATCATTCATGATAGCGTTTCATCAGTAGCAGTAAGTGGCTAGCAGAGTAAGTAGAGTTGGAGAGGGAATGGGGAAATTGATCAACTTTCCAGCTATTTCTGAGTTTAGTCTCAAATGTGGTTTCACTGTGGAGTTCCGGAGTCTGTGAATTCCCAGACCAGAGGAAATCTTAAGTGAAAAGCTTAGCAAAGGTGAATTTGAATGAATTTTGTTCATGGTATTATTCAGTATCTGTATTTTAAAGTCATTTGCTGAGCTTTGGGGTTCTAATTTCTTTTAATACTGCAGTCAGATAATTTCCTCCAGATATCCTGATAAAAAAATAGGACTGATGTAAAAAATACCATAAATACTGTCATTTTTTTAATGCAAAAGTTTAAAATTGGGAAGAAAGGTTGTAGAAGGCAAACCACATCATTTTTGTTTCTACAGAAAGCATTATATTTTTAAAAATCTACAGTTTAAAAAAAATGTTTGGAAAATCAGTAGTGTAATGTGGTTTCTAGCGCATAAGAATTTTATATACACAGAGTGTAGCAATTTTTCTTACACACAAAGTGCACCACTATCCCAACTTTCATGTTTTACTTTACACTCAAGTTTTTAGGTATAAGTGAACTTACAGACTTTTTAGAGACTTTATTTCATGTATTCATATTAATAACTAGAAAAGGCTTGGAAAGAAGACTCACTTATTTCAGCATCCTTTGATTTCCCATTCATCACTGTTTCCCATCTCTTCCTTTATAACTAGAGATGGTAGTTGCTCAGTATTTTCTGAATAATTTAATAAATAATAAAAATTAAGGTTTTACTCAATAACCCCTACTTTACTGTAGCTCTACTAAAATAGGGTATTTTGTGATGTGACCCTTAATCTAATAGGCTGATATTCAGTATCTGATATTTTTTTGGTGTGTGTAAGAAAAGTTAAGGATAAATGGCAAGCAGTAAGAACATTGAGTGCCTGTTATTGCCAGGCATTAGGTTTTCAAATACGGAGTTCTAATTAGTATTATCCCTTGGTAAATTTGTTTTCAAAATTGATGATTTTATTGTCTACAGCTCATAACTGCAAACTAATGAAACCTTTTCTCTGTGATTAACAGGTATGATTGGTGATTATAATATCTGTTTATAAATTAATACTTGTCAACTTTGAGATTTAAAGAGAAAATGCCTGGTGTCATACCTAATGAAAGTAATGGGCTTTCAAGAGGTAGTCCATCAAAGAAAAACCGACTTTCCTTGAAGTTTTTTCAGAAAAAGGAAACTAAGAGAGCTTTGGATTTCACAGATTCTCAAGAAAATGAAGAAAAAGCTTCTGAATATAGAGGGTCTGAAATGTATGTATCTTAAATATATTTCTGTACTTTTAAAATTCCACATCAATGAAGAAGCAGTGAACTTGGATTGATACTTCCAGACAGTCTCACCTGACAGTAGAGGCAAAAAATACATTTGTGAGACAAATCTATCGGTATGAAGTAGAAACAACAAAACTGGTGGTTCCCCTCAGGGATGCTATCCATAATGCTAAGTCATTTACATTGTGCTCATCTAGTTTGACTAAACTGGAGAAATATTGACTAAAATTGTTTTTTAATTTACCTTGATTGTAGTGCAGCACATTTTGTGTAAGAGTAAAGAAATAGGTGATTCTTTTTTGGTTCATAACACTTGACAGTTACCTGAGATATTTAAACTTCATAGTCATACCTAGTATGTGAATTATCAAAACTGTTGGTGCATATAGTTATAAATTATAATTAAACTTGAATATAAATGCTTTTGATGCAAATCTTTCAGTGACTGAAATGGAATACTTTATTCCACCAGTAGTCACTCCAGTTGGAGTCTACACTAGCTCCCTATTCAACAAATCTGTATGGTTAAAGTGGATTTGGTTTCATGTGTAATTTTGTAATATTTACCAATAATCGATTTAGGAGATCGTATGTGAACCTTTTGTTTACCAGCATGCATACCTATAAACACTTCGAGGTGCTAGAGTAATAGCAGCTATAAAATAAGTAAAAATGCTGTGATGACCTACTGTTTATTAAAGTCAGGTAATAGAATTATAAACTTGAACAATGAACAATTCATTTTTAAGTGAGGAACAGCTGTATAATTCTATTCATAGACTCTCTTTCCTCTTATTCTTTTATTAATAGAATCTGACTGCTTAGATAGTGCAGCCTCTCCCAAATACTGTCACAATCAGGTTATTTCCAGATTTCTGTTGAGAGTTAATCTGCAGTTGGCCCTTAAACAACATGGGTAACATGCAGATGTTTTCCAGTAAATACTGTAAATGTATTTTCTCTTACGATGTTCTTAATTTTCCTTTCTCACCTTATTGTAAGAATGCCATATATAATGCATATAACATAAAAAAATATTGTGTCAATTGACCTTTTTATTTATTTTTTATTGGTAAGGCTTTCAGTCAACAGTAGGCTATGAGTAGTTAACTTTTGGGGGAGTGAAAAGCTATACAGGGATTTTCAACCATGCATGGGGGTGGGGGAAGTCAGTACCTCTAACCCCTGCATAGTTCAAGGGTCAGCTCTACCTGATTAAAGTGTCCTGTTGGCTTAACAAATCATGATACCAGTTCCTTAATTTTCTACTGTGTAAAATGGGATTAATAGCCTCTTGATGGAATTATTTTGAAGCTTGTTGAATGTAGTAATGTTTTTAAAGTACTTGTAAAATTTTTTATGCTAGGTGTACAGCAATTTTTTGCACATATACAGATTGCTTAAAATGTCATCTGAGTAAATTCCATATACTTTTCAGATCATAAACTTTGGGGGAAAGAATAAATCTAGGGAAGTAATATTTCCACTTTTTTCTTTGAGATACTACGTCATTATACCTTTCTCCTCTCCTCTGTACTTAATAGTGATCAAGTTGTTCCTGCAGCACAGTCCTCACCTATAAACTGTGAGAAGAGAGAAAACTTGTTACCATTTGTGGGACTGAATAATCTCGGCAATACTTGTTATCTTAATAGTATACTTCAGGTAAATTAACAATTTTGCTATATAATAAAATTTTAGTAGGCAAAGAATGATATAACATTTAATGTTTTTGAGAATTTCACATTATTAGAGGATTTCAGTTGTCGATATTTTTACCTTTGATTATAAATAAACCAGAATGGGCTAAAATAATAATAATGATTCTAAATTTTGTGTTAGAAGCTTCCTTTGGGGTAAGAAAAAGTGATAACATAAAATTAGAATAGCAGAATTGAGTGGAACTTGGTTAAGTGGAAGATGGCCAAACTTTTAGTTTTTTCTGCCCAATTCCTGGTGCTATGGTGATAAGTATTTTAATGCTTGGAACTATATGTTTTATATTGTACCCTTATAACTATTAAGTCTTAGCAACATCTGCCAGGCTCAGTGCTTTGTTGCCAGTGAGGGAAGACAGTGTGCTACAATGATGAAATAGAGAACAATTTTTGATACAAATCTTAATCTCAGAATTTTAAGTAATTCCCATTTAAAAGTGGTCTACAAAAAGCATGAAAGTGTTTGAATGACCTTAGGTATGTTGTTTGTTCAGTAAGCACTCAGAAAATCTCACTTTTTATAGGTATTATATTTTTGTCCCGGTTTTAAATCTGGAGTGAAGCACTTATTTAATATTATTTCAAGGAAGAAAGAAGCTCTCAAAGATGAAGCCAATCAAAAAGATAAGGTAAAAAATAAAAATAAAAGAATATTATAAAAAGTAAATTTATGGAAATTTACTTGCTTAGAAAAAAGTAATAAATACACAGGATTTGGGCGGAGGATGATAAAGATAACCATAACTGAGAACTGAATTTCTAAGTATCTTACATTGTCAGAAAGGCAGTTTTTCATTCTTGCAGAGTAGCTAACTAACTAGATTGTCCCCTTTTATTAGAGTGTCTTCTCCAGTCCTTTATTGTTTACCAATAAACATTGTCATTTGTATACCACCATCACAATTTATCATATCCTGTACCACTTGTTATTCATCTATTGTTTTCCAATTGACTCATTTTTAAAATTTAAATACAAAGAAACCTTTGATTTATATATATAGAAAACCAGTATCATCCACATAATAGAACGTAATCAAAAAATACACTTATAATTCTTAAAAGGCTTATTTGTATATCTCCATAAAATTAGTGCTACAATGAAACTAAACTTTAAAAAGCTAGTTTTATCTAGTGAGACAAAGTCTAGGGGGAAAGTACTTAATTTGTTCATAAATAAAAATATTGATTTGTGTATTTCTTTCTTGACAGGGAAATTGTAAAGAAGATTCTTTGGCAAGTTATGAACTAATATGCAGTTTACAGTCCTTGATCATCTCAGTTGAACAGCTTCAGGCTAGTTTTCTCTTAAATCCAGAGAAATATACTGATGAACTGGCTACTCAGCCAAGGCGACTGCTTAATACACTCAGGTATAGCCTATAATATAATTTTAGGATTCCAATTTAGCTACTTATTGCTTTCTTTAGAGCAGAGTGATACATGAACAAATGGCAATAAAGGGCAAGGAAACTAGAAACTGTAGAACTATAGTCCTTAATATCTCAGAGACTCCAAAAACTAAACATTTTTCATAAGTTTGGTACTAAATTCATTTCAGAATTATATGAGATCATTTATAGTCATTATTCATACTTTGAATATTCATACATTTTCTTGTAGAAGTAGTAATGTGTTTACTTAGGTGATACTGCCCCCTATCATGTTGGCGATATATATTTTATTTATGTGCCACATTTTTAATCTGAAAAATTCTGAATTCCCAAACACATTTGGTCCTAAGGATTTCAGATTGTGAATTATAGGTCTGTATTCAACATGTATTATGCATCAGAACTCTAAATTCCAAATATTCTATTTTTCTGCTTAGAACTGTTAACTGGATTAGAGTTCTTCGTGATCATGAAACTTTATCCTATATATAAAATAGCCTTATCCAAAATGTTATAGGTTAAATGTTTAAAAAATTAATCATTTTGTTTAGGAACAGACTTAGGAATAACACATTGATATACATTTGTTAAAAGGCAGTATAGCATGGTGGCTAAGAGCAGGTTGAATCCTGGCTTTGTATCTTAACTAGTTCTGTGACGTTGGGCAGGTTACCTTATCTGTAAATAGTGGTGACGATGATACCTACTTCACAGGGTTACTGTGAGAATTATGCTGAACACGTAATATAAAAACAATTTTGAATAAAACCTGGTACATGGTAAGCTATACATATAAGCTATTGACAGTGTATTCAGAAAAGAGATAAAAGTAATTGTGATAATGAGGTAAAATTTGTTTTTACTTTTAGTTACAAGTTTAAGTTTCAGATTAGCTGAATAAATGTTTTTTGATTTTTAAAATAGTTATGATATTCCTATAAAAATGCATTCATTTCAACATAGAAAGGTTTTCTTTTTTTGTATTATATCTTCAAAACTAATATAAATTGGAAATTTTTATTTATAGGGAACTCAACCCTATGTATGAAGGATATCTACAGCATGATGCACAGGAAGTATTACAGTGTATTTTGGGAAACATTCAAGAAACCTGCCAACTCCTAAAAAAAGAAGAAGTAAATGTGGCAGAATTATCTAACAAGGTAGAAGAAAAACCTCATGAGAAAGAGGAAATTCGTGTTAACAGCATAGAGATGGACAACATGAGGCATTCTGAAGACTATAAAGAAAAACTCTCAAAAGGAAATGGGAAAAGAAAAAGTGACAATGAATTTGGTAACATGAAGAAAAAAGTTAAGGTATCCAAGGAACATCAGTCATTGGAAGACAACCAGAGACAAACCAGATCAAAAAGAAAAGCTACAGGTGATACATTAGAGATTCCTCCTAAAATAATTCCCAAGTACATTTCTGAAAATGAGAGTGCAAGACCCTCACAAAAGAAATCAAGAGTTAAAATAAATTGGTTAAAGTCTGCAACTAAGCAACCCAGTATTCTTTCTAAATTCTGTAGTCTGGGGAAAATAACAAACCAAGGATCTAAAGGACAGTCTAAAGAAAATGAATATGATTTTGAAGAGGACTCTGAGAAGTATGAAAATGATGACACAACTAATGGTTGTGGATTTGAACCTTCGGGGAATAATGTTAAGCCCATTAATAGTAATGAAGTTAAGCCCATAAACAAAGGTCAGTATAATTTATTCTTAGACATTGATAGGTAGGCGGATTAACAGTTGCGGAATTGGAATTTTCTCTACTTAGATACATGTACAACATAAATCTAGCTAAAGTTTTAAAGAGAAATTTTAACAATGAATTGCGTTTTAAGCACTGTGCTTAGATGTATTTTTATGCGTGAAATGCAGTTTAGTGAAATGCAGTTTTTAAAGCAGAGAACTAAGTAGTTAACACTGTAGTTGAACTGTATTTCCATCTAGTTTCTTCCAGATCTACAGATCTCAGGGAAAATGTGTAATATTGATGTGGTTATAGCTTTACCAAAAGTGTCACCCTTATTTTAGGACTTTTCAACAAGGTGTTTTTGAGGACGGGAGACACAATTGTGACTCTTTACTTTTTTAGAGACAGTAGTAACTCTTTACATTTCATGAACGAGGCCCCTCTCAATGCTGATAAGCAAACCGAGATGAAAATCAGCCTTTTATTCATGTTACGCGTTAAGTGGAATCTGTTATTCGGGCTGTGCTGAAGAACTAATCTGTATAGACTTACATTTTTCTGTTTTGCTGTTTTTGTTTTAGGCACAGAGCAAATTGGTTTTGAGCTAGTAGAGAAATTATTTCAAGGTCAGCTGGTATTAAGGACTCGTTGCTTAGAATGTGAAAGTTTAACAGAAAGAAGAGAAGATTTTCAAGACATCAGTGTGCCAGTGCAAGAAGATGAGCTTTCCAAAGTAGAGGAGAGTTCTGAAAGTAAGCAAAATTGGAATCTTGTAAGGACCATGGAATAATGTTTTCTTCAACAAGCATAGTCTAATAGCAGCTTGTATAATTATTGAGAAAAAGCTGGCTTTTAGTGTCTTTGGTACAATAAAGCTTGCTCATATGGCTTCACTTGTTTAATTAGCATTTGGAAAATTGTGGCATCTTTATTTTGATATGTAGTATTTAATGAGAAAATGAAATGCTTTGATAAGTTAACTTTTGGGTACCTGAATTTTTCAGAGCTACTGAGGATATTTTTATTAACATAATATTTGAGTCTAGTATAAATCACACAAGTATGAAAATGTTTCAGGAAGTAATCATGAGACTGGTTTATCTGTTCAGATATTGGAAGCAGGCTATTAAATATAAACTGTCTGTCTTATACTGAGTCAGAGACTAGGTTTGTCATGTTTTTCCTGCTCCATCACCTAAATGTGTTTTGGCTGACCAAATACAAATATTTAAAAGTTATGTGCACTGTTGAGGGTGAGAGTTTCTGAAACAATATATTTGGGAGGATTATTGCATGCTAATTTTGAACATGGAACTTTGTGAAACCTAATTTTTAAATGTCTGAGACATTTTTCATTTGTGAGTGAAAGGATTCTCTTATGTAGTTTCTCCAGAGCCAAAAACAGAAATGAAGACCCTGAGATGGGCAATTTCACAATTTGCTTCAGTGGAGAGGATTGTAGGAGAAGATAAATATTTCTGTGAAAATTGCCATCATTATACTGAAGCCGAACGGAGTCTTTTGTTTGACAAAATGCCTGAAGTTATAACCATTCATTTGAAGTGCTTTGCTGCTAGTGGCTTGGAGTGAGTATTATAAATAAAAGCTATATGAAGAAAATGAGCTGCTATATAAGACAAGTTTTGTTCAAACCACAGAAAAGAAGTAATTTATAACAGTTTCTCTGTAAAAATCCATGTTTAAATCCTTTCGACATGAATACATACTCTGATTTTTTCCACACATCTTTTAGATAACAGTCGAATTGGTTAAAGCAGGGAACAGATTTTGTATACATAAGATTTTTTTGAGGGGAGAAAAAGGCAAAATTATTTTAGTTTTTAGGTAAGCCATGAAATCAAACTAATGTTTGAATAATTTGATATTCTTTTCTAGTTGGAATTTAATATCTAAAAGCTATTAAGAGATAAGTATAAAAATGCCTATTACATTTTGGATAGGCTGACTTTCTGACCTGTATACAGGTCATTGTGGATTTTATTCCTTTCTATATTAATAAGGTGTTTGAAATTACCATGAAGGCTTCCCAGGAGCTCTCCGTACACTTTCTTGTTGCAGAAGAATGACATATGGTCCTTTCTTTCACTAGATTTTTTTTTGGTTATAGTACTATTTTATTTTTGTCCCCAAATTTTGGTAGAGATACTTACATTTAAATGACCTACTAAAATATACAGCAGTTTGGTTTTTGAAGTTCATTGTTTTTTAAATGTCATTTATTTTCTTATTGCACAAAATTAGGAAAATAAAAAGGGGAAGATGCCATATATATAAGCCTTCACAGAAACACCTGAACATTACTGTTTATTTCAGTAGTTTTTATTTGTGTAAATAAGTGTACAAAATTGGGGGTTTGTTTCTAATTGTGTTTATTCATATAAGCACTGAAATATTAAGGGTTCATTTAGACTTGACTTGGTTTCATATTGGGTGTAAAACTGAGTATATAAAAAGTGGAATTGCAGAAAACTTTTTCTTTTTCCCCCAAAGGTTTGATTGTTATGGTGGTGGACTTTCCAAGATCAACACTCCTTTACTGACACCTCTTAAATTGTCACTAGAAGAATGGAGTACAAAGCCAACCAATGACAGCTATGGATTATTTGCGGTTGTGATGCATAGTGGCATTACAATTAGTAGTGGGCACTACACTGCCTCTGTTAAAGTCACTGACCTTAACAGTTTAGAACTAGATAAAGAAAATTTTGTGGTCGACCAAATGTGTGAAATAGGTAAGCCCGAACCATTGAATGAGGAGGAAGCACGGGGTGTGGTTGAAAATTATGACAATGAAGAAGTGTCAATAAGAGTCAGTGGAAACCCACAGCCAAGTAAAGTTTTGAACAAAAAAAACGTAGAAGCTATCGGACTTCTTGGAGGACAAAAGAGCAAAGCAGATTATGAGCTATACAACAAAGCGTCTAACCCTGATAAAGTTGGCAGTACAGCAGTTGCTGAAAACAGAAATTCTGAGACTAACAATACTAATGGGACCCATGAATCTGATAGAAACAAGGAATCCAGTGACCAAATGGGCATTAACATTGGTGGATTTGAGAACAAAATTTCGTATGTAGTGCAAAGCTTAAAGGAATATGAGGGGAAGTGGTTGCTTTTTGATGATTCTGAAGTAAAAGTTACTGAAGAGAAGGACTTTTTGAATTCTCTTTCCCCTTCTACATCTCCTACATCTACTCCTTATTTGCTATTTTATAAGAAACTATAAAGTGAGTGTATTTTTCTTGTATATATTAAACAGACCGAGACACACATCAGTAAAAATTACATCAAAGATTCTTTAGCTTAGCTTTTGAAGCTATTGGATATTATTGGTCTCTCTAGGTTTTTATATAGTGAAATTTTAATTACTGAAAACCATGTCAATTTTAGAATTCATTACTTAGTAGAGACTAGTTATACATTAGCTTCTGGGGACAACCTTGTATAGATTCTTAATTATCCAAAATGGAAGCATTTGAATTTACACCTATCTTTTGTGTTTGCTTTTTAAAAATAAAGTACTTGTATCCATATTTTGGAGTAATTATCTACATAATGTTTATAGGTCCTGTGGTTTTTCAGCTAAGAAGCAGAATCTCATTTCAGTACATTTAGTTTTATAAGTCATGAAGGCCAGATCTTTGATGGGCTGTATTAGAGGCACAAAGTCTGGAATATGTGTGTATTCACAATGATGTAAATTTTGTGCCTTGAATCACTTCAGAAGTCTCAGAAAACGTGGACAGTCCTTTACAGCAATTTTATATGTATTTATAAGGATGATTCTGTACCCTAGTAAATCTTTTTTGGGCATGGACAATTTGTATCTCTTCATAGTCATTTTCTGCACGATCTGTATATAGTACATCAAACTTAGAGGTATGACCTTAAGTTTAACTTTTTAAAAAAATCATAAGGTCAATAAAATTTAAAATGCCTAAAAACTGTATACTAATGCTCAATTTTTTACTTGCATATTTTTACCGTAAATATGTACAGCTGGGTTCTCTAAAACAAAATATGTGTATGTGTGTATAATGTATGTATAGAAGAGAATAAACAGGCATAATTATCTTTAATACTTTCTGACAGTTGAAGAAATTTTCAAATGGAATTCAAATTGTACTTAGCTATCTAAGATGTCATACTTGAAAGTTTCCAGTAAGAATTGTTGCATCCTAGTTGTCCTTTAGGCATAAAACTTTATGGAATACAGAATTGCAAAACTTTAGATGATGCTTCGGGCACACATAAAAACTTGGTTAAATTTTCATTGTAAATATATTAAACTGGTAAATAATTATGTTAAAGGACATTCTTGGTGTTGATACTAAAAATGATCCTAAAGAATATGTAAATTCTATTGGAATAACATAGTTTATTTCAACAAATGAGTGCCTGTCAACTAATAAATTACATAGTTAAATAAAGTCACATTCTTCCATAAGATGGTGTGATATTAAAAGTCATGGTTCTCACCTAAATTCAGAATCACTAATGGAACTTTTAAAAAGGAACAGCCCTGGACATTACCCATAGGCTTCTGATGGACTAGTTCTAGGATAGAGCCTGGGCCTCTAATACTCAAGGGGACAGTCAAGGTTAAGAACTAGTACAGATTCCTGATATGAGAAAGTTTAAAGAAAATTGGAGTACATGGGAAGTTAGCAAGTGTTCAGTATACCAATGTTTTAAGAGTAAGAGGAAGCCTCTTCTGAGCCAAGCCATAAAATAATTAGTAACATATAATTAAACCATAATTATGTTAAAATTCTTGATATTGTCATAGATTTGTGTGAAACAACTCAAACTTCATAAATGTAACCTAATGAGAAATGACTTAAGGGTTATTCTCGCCCTATTTCTATCTCCCCTCCCCCCCCACTCTAAAGAAGAGTACATATGTTACTTTTTTTGTTTTAATGAGTTTCCATTCTTAATTCCTCTCTTCCCTTAGTGTTCATCTGGATCCTCTGTCCCCAAATATATTTTTAAGATTATACCTTTCTGACTCCTGAGTTAACCCCTTGTGGTCCAACATTATAGACTCATTGGAAAAACCTCTTTGTGATTCAGTCTTTGATTAGATAGGAGAAGTTTGAGATGATATTGCCTATCATAAATGTAGGCTGGAGGGGAGAGACGTCAGCCATCACCGATGTGCTCAGGAGAGTCAGACATTTTTGAGATCTTCGACACCAACTACAGAATGAAGGCACTGTATTAAATTTGATCAGTTCTAAATGATTCATGTACCTGGTCAGTAGATCAAAGGGACAGATTATAAATCATGACTTTCTATACTACTATACTACTACAAAGAAAAATCTTGTTCAAAACACCCAGAAAGCATCAATGCACTTTCTTGGAAAACTGCCATGTAACTGAAATATATTTCAAAAAAAACTTTTGCATTAGTTTCTTACCATAAAGTTATTTTAAATTAGCTCTTAATTTCAATTATAATAGCTAATTTTACTTTTTACATGTACTTTGTAAAAATCTATGCAAGTATCAAAAAATATAAATTCTCATTCAACTGGTATATTAAAATCAAACAGCAGTTCTTATTTTTATGGTGGTGTAAGAACTTTAAAGCAAATTTCTAATTTAACAGTTTAGATCACTAAAATGATGACTGGCTTGTTTAATTTGAAACACTGAATCATTGATTTTAGTTGCTGAGAGTCACTAAGTTCATACCACTATCAGTATAACAAGATTCAGAGTCAAAGATCAAGCTACTGTCACTGGTATTACCTATCCCTGTATTTAATCATAGACAAAAAGTTTATTAGGTAAAGTTATTTATGCAATTTATAAATCCCTTTTTTTGGTGTCTAAATGGAAAATTGCTTAGAAACCAGTTTTAGGACTTCACAAACCAGTTATCAATGTCTTCACCCAATAATTTATTCGTTTATTTAATTTGGGACTCGGGTCATAAAGTGACAGTCAGTTTTTACTTCCATTTTGCTAGTTTTGGAACTAGTTCTTAACTCTAACTTACTGTCTGCTTTTGCCAATAAAGAATTGTTTAAAGTCCCACTCAGTAAAATTAGTGTAAACGTTCACATATTTAATAGTACCTTTAAAATAAGCATTACTACATTTAAAATGGTTCCAAAATGAATCTATAAATGGTAATATAAATTAAAAAATACAAACTTAAAAGTAAATAAATTTAACATTAGCTATGGTATAAATAATGGTAAATGTATAGTGTACCTTTGAGTCATTAAAATGTTTTAAAAAAAGAACATATTACCAGAACATTAGAAGCCATAGCCATGATTCTCAAATGTCAACAATCTATATTTGATATTGTTTTGGCCACTGCATTCTTCAATGAATAAATTAATGCTATAATTTCCAGCATTAAGTCCCAAGTCTTATTTTTCAATAGATCTTCTTTTCACACTCAATGTTGAATACATGGCTCTTTTCAAATGAATAAAAGAAGTATGTTTATTTTAGAGATCCATTTTGCGCAGGCTCATTCGACTGAAGGAATCTCTGGGAAGAGAATGAAAGGATATAATTATAAGTAAACAATTTTTACATATTCCTTTAAAATATGTTTTATTTTTTTTCTGTCAGAGTTATCTCAAAGGTTTGCTACCAAAAACTTACTACCTTTAAAGCCCCTCTGCCACCAAAGTTCTTACTAACTTTTAAGTTACTGAGTCATATGTTCTAGCTTAGAGACTTCTCTGTTGATCAAAAGTATATTACAGTAACCACTTAGCCAAGTCATTGATCACTTATTCATTTGTGTAATAGCTGTATTAGATATTATGATAAATAAAGAAATAATGGGAGAGATTTCAGGAAAAGATTTTTTTTGATGTTATTAAAAAGCAAAGGCAGATGTTTCTTCTTTAAAATATTCTGAGTCATATATCTGTCATTCTCAAACTTCTGGGTTTTAAGTCTTTTTTATATGTAAAAATTGAAGACCCTAGGAAGCTTTTAGAAATTTAGAAAAATTTTACATTATTTTACATGTTACTATAAATGACATTGTTGATTAAAAATAACTTGCAAGAAATTTTAGAAGAGTGGTACTCATTTAATGTCTGGCTTAACAGAAGGCCTAGATTTGCTCATGTTTCTGCATTCAGTCTTAAAATAGTGCATGTGGTCTCTGGAAAACCATTGTACTCTCAGAATGGCAGGTAAGGCAAATAATATTTGGTATTAATATAAAATTAGCTTTGACTCTGGAACCTCCTGAAAGGGTTTCAAGGACCCCCCTCCATCATGGATCCCAGCTCATACTTTGAGAACCACTATCTTAATGCCCTATAAGCCTACTGCAAAATAATATTCCAGATTTTGTAAATCAGCAGAATAAAAAATTCAAATTCTAAGGGAGTTTTATTTTCTAAGATCTGAAGATGTTAATGAAGAGAATAATATTCTTCACTACCTCTTAATGTTTTTTCCTTTATCTTTAATTTCTTTTGCTTATCCTTCCTGTTATTTAGGTTAAGCTCTGAGGTTTACAGTCTCCAGGAGAGGAGAGGGCAGGTACAAAGAAGTCATGTTCAGCTTTGAATCTCAAAGCTTGTTTTTTTTTGGTTCCAGAGAAAGTAGCAGTATTAAAAGCTAGATACTTATTAATCAAGAAGAGTTTCTCTAAATTCCAAAAAAATGCCTGTAAATATTAAGAACTGAAGCGTGGAGGACTGATCATAGAGAAAGGCAAAACTCAGGATAATAGTCTAAGGGAAAGTTTTCCTCAGACAGGAATAGGAAAAGAGCTGGAGAGATTTGAAGGATGTGAGACTAGCATTAGAAAAACTGCCTATGTCAGGGACCCAGCACCCTCATTCCAGGCAGGACCTCTGATCAGAGAGTAAAAGACTGGTGGGAGGGACTTACAGGCAACAAGAAGGCAGAAATTTTAAAAAGACAAGGGGAAGGCAAAAGTGGAGGTGGCTAGTGTTGCTTCCCACTGAGAATTTTAAGAAGAAACCACCTAAGATGTCTCGTATCAGTACAGGATGGTGGAAGCAAAATATTTTGCCAGAGAAAGGATGCAAAACAGGCCCTCTGGTCTCCTGTTCCTGTATATTGTGGCATAGATTCAGATAATCTATATGCTCCCTGTAGGGGACATGACGTACAACAGGGATTTTGTCGACATTTTTTGAATGAGTATGATTTTTTTCAGAGGTCGAAGTACAAAAATATTAGATCACTGAAGGCCAAATATTAGATCCCAGAAGATCAAATAGCCAGTTTAACTTCCTTTTGTAATATATTATACCACACATCTATATTCTATTTTCATATGAGCAATTTCAAAGGCCTCCCAAATATTAATCAGGTAAGTACAATTTAATTGCTTTACTGTTATTAATTCAAAAAAAAGGGTGGTAAAATATTGGTGCCACAAATATTTACTAGTTGTATATACATTTGGATTTCCAAATGCGAATAAAGTAGTTTACTTTTAGCAGTCATCATGCCCTGTCCAGAATCCAGGTACTAAAAAGCAAAATATTAAGCACTGTCCTTGGAATTTTACATGCTATTTAATTTCCATGACAACCTCTTCGAGGTAAGAAATTTTACAGAGAGGAAACCGAAAAAATTAGATTAAATTACCTGCTCAAGTAGAACCAGGATCAGTTATAGAAAATTCCAAGTTATTTCCATTTCTAATTTTGTTTGTAACACTTAGAAAGTGGAAAAAAAATGCTGAAGCCTCTTGATATTCAATGGGGTCACCTGTTTTAATACAAATCTAGAACCTACTGTATACTATTGATTATCAGGGCTGAGGAAAATAACTACCTGGCTCCTAATATATTTTAGTGAATTCTCCTACAAAAATACCAGAATGTGCGACAAGATTTTAAAAGGAATAGTTTTAGGAGGCCAGACTCATGTGTGGTATCCTGGTTAGTATGAGTACTTAACAAAACTTTGTGATTCTTGAATTACAGAAAGATCTGACATTTATATTAAAGGCTGATTCTTATATAGATGATAAAAGGATTATATTGAACTTGTTAGGTTAAAGGAGACAATACCTGAAACCATGTAATAAAAGTTACACTAATGCACTGTTAAATAATTCAAGCAGATTTCCTTTTTTTGAAGATATCCAAAATAAAAGAAAAAAGCATACCTGTGGCAGGTGACAGGTAATACTGCCTTGTATAACTGAGGGATCTTTCTGTTTATCAGAGGCTGTAGGGCCTCTTTAAGGCGATGATAGTTTCTCTCCAGTTCCCTTTGATATTCTTTTTGATCTGGTCCAATTAAGCTCTTATTTTTTCTTAAGGCATCTTCACACCTAGAAAAAACAGTGTGTTATCAAACAATTTCTTCTGGTATAGTTTGAGAGCTTCGTAATACATATATAAATTTTCACCATGATGAAGAAATTCATTTTCTCAGTTGAGTGTTAAATATCCTCTCTTGTATTGTGTT